CCAAGGGATTAAGGTGGAAGGAGGAATTGTTAAATTTGAAGAAGATTTGGCCAGACCATCCGCCACCTCATTACCATAGATCCCGACATGACCAGGGACGCAGAGAAATTGAACGGTGAAGTTGGATTGGTACAATTGAAAAATAATGGTTTTAATACGAAGAGTTATTGGAGAAAGACGGGAATTAAAAGAGTTAGATTTAAGAGATAAAATACAGGACAAAGAGTCAGAAGCAATTAGGTACTTGTTTGAGGGCAAGGAGGAGAATAATATGAGAGCTTCTAGAATGGCAAAACATTCAGCTGTAAAGGAAGAGGCGGAGGAAGGAAGGTTACCGGTAAATAAAATATGTAACTTAGGAAGGAAAATAGAATAGCCGGCAGATAGCGGGGAGACAGAGCCGTCGGCGTAGATGGTAATACAATTTGAGAGAACTGAATCCAGAAATTCGGAGAAAAGATAATTAACTACATTAGGATAGGTGGATTTGAGGTCCACTAGGGAGGAATATAGCATGAAATTATGAATGTGAATTTGGGGAACATAAAGAAGAGAATCGTATGTATGTTCGTAGAGAGGGTGTTTATTGAAATTTAAGATGTATTGTTGGAAAGAAGAAATGGAGTTTGTAGTCAAAGAAAGAACAGGAAGTGATAATTTCAGCTCTATATTATAATATTGTTTTCCTTTGTAAATACCTGACGCGTTTTGCATAGATGCCGGCGACGGGGGTGTGGTACAGCACGAGGTATCGCTGCCGGGTTGCCTTTCGTTGGTTTTCTCCTTAACGCCGTTTGCGTTGGCGGCCGCGGCCACAGCAATAGCCAACAGAGCCGAACTGCTGTGGTTTACCCGAACAGTTTGCTGCTGCTGCTGCTGCTGTTGCTGTTGTTGTTGGTTAGGTCTCCTCGCGATGGGTTTGGCTATGATCGCAGACGCCGGTGTCGTTTCGGGTGTCGCGTGGTAATGTTGGTAGTACTGCAGGGCACCGTCGATGCCTAGATATAACCAGAAAATATAACAGTTAATTATTAAATAAAAAGCAACAAGTTTGGGGGGGGGGGGGAAACAATCTAAACCAGCGTAGTTTGAAACCAAGACGTACAGTATAATTCAGTACCGGAAGATGTTATAACAAAGTCGGGTGAAAGCGGTAATTACTAAACCTAAAAGTGATATCATCACAATCAAACGCCTCGATGCGAATCTGTGAATAGTAAAAAATCCAGCACGGTATAAACCAGTACAGTCAAAATCGAGCACAATCCAAACCAGCACAGTAATAAATTACTAATATTAGACCGTATCGTTAATAATTTCAAGTTAACAAACCTAGTACAGTGGGGTTGGGGCATAGTGGGAACGGGGAGGTCACCGGTCTACAGGAAATTATTATAACTGAAAGTGATAAAATCACTTTTTAATAAACGCTTCGATGCGAATCAGTGGATAGTAATTGACCGAAAGTGATAAATTACGGTAAATGAGTAATTTTTCCTTTATTTTTGACTATAATAAAAACCATAATAATTTATAGTTTATATTTAAATTATTCTTGTATTTCGGCCGACATTTGAAATTGACCTTTTTTGATTTTTTGAATTCACACAAGCATATTGTATACATAATAATGCAATAGAGCACAATATACAGCATGGCAAAATTGTATTAGAAAAGGTGTGGATCAAACCGGCAATGGAAAAACTGCGTTTAAGTTTATGAACGAGTGCTGCGAGTGTAAATAAGGTCAAGTTATAATTCTTGTCAAATGGATGTTTCTATAAATACCGCGATGCAAGAAGAATGACCATATCTGTTGAGAGAATTATGTTTATTTTTTTGTTCAAGCGAAATTTAAACGAAGGTCGTCGTTGTATTTCTGTAAGCATTTCGAGATGACACAGTTTTAAATCTGGTCGAGCTGTTGACGAATAAAATGTTACATTTTATATGTTTACAACAGCTATTGGAATTACAACGACGACACTGCAAATTTCTCTGAAAACACTTCAACTCATCCTTTAATAACACTTATCTTCCTGATTTCAACAAGACTGCAGTCAATAACAGTTATTATAAAGTCGCGGTACGTTTAAAATTTAACAAGTTTGAAACATGGACGAGATACTCTACAAAATTATATTGGAAAATAAAAAATATGTCATTGCTTCAAAATTACTACACTACTTTCGAAAGTACCTACTACGTTACTGTTTGTTAGCAGTGAAAACATAATTATTTATTTTATATTGAAATTAATTATTTTGATTTAATATGCGTTTTAATATTGAGTTATTCTACCAACTGAAAAACTAAAGACCATTTTTTTTTTTAAACTAATATTACATACATACAGGGTGATTCATTAAAGATAAAACGCGCACATTCTCTTCAAATAATTGCAATTTTGTAGTTCTACTTTCGCAGTTCTTTCTTTACAACTGTGTGCAAAAACAAATAGTACTACACTCCAAGTTCTCTTCCATCCACTAGTTGTTCTTAATTTAACTAATTAGTTGAGTATATAGGTTACCATTTAAGATGCATACATACATTCAAATGTATATACACACATATTATTTTATTGTTTTTGCATTATTTTGATTGTACTGAACTTTACCAGTACTTTTTGCTCTTTAGGGCTTTTGTAGTATAAATAAATAGAGATTCAGATAGAGTTGTAAAAAATACTAAAAAAAAAAAAAATGGTAAATCTTTCAACACTGTTAAATACCATAAACTGAATAGCGTCTCCAAAAAGGAAAACTGCACAATGGAAATTATTTCGATAGGAAACGGTTGGCCTTGTCGTTAAATTAATAGCCTTAACTTAATATACATTTTTTTTTTGTCTACGCAGAATTAAAAACCACCATATGAACAACACGTTGAAAACCGTGCAAGCACAGTAAACATAAATATTTTAGCCGAATCCCTTTTTGTGAACGCGTGCCAGAGAATTTGTATAATAATAATATTAGCCGGAGTACGCATAATGGGTAGAACATGCAATTCGTCGGCGTTCTAATATTACACTCCAGTGTTGTTTCCGAAAATTCTCAGACAGTATAGTTTTGTATATATATATATATATATATATATATATATATATATATATATATATATATACACATACATATTATATTTGTACAGGCTTTAATCGTTCGGGGAACAAACGTTTGACTCCATTGCCGTTGTCGTTGACCGCACAAATTGTAATTCTATACACTTGTATTTATCGCCATTAGCCGTGGTAATAACAGTGTAGTAATAATAAGTAACGATACCGCTCTGCGGTAGCTTAAGTAGTATCTTGTTACCATACATACAGTATGAAACGCCTTTATTTGCCTCTGCTTTTAAGTGCCCAACAATCGTATAATAAGTTATCCGTTTCGGCCTCACCCACCCCGACCCGAGCGTAGTCCTGCGAGTGACGTATCGTAAATCTTCCCCTTTCACGTTCATCCCCTATCCTCGAGCTCCCTGCCCCTCGGTTCACCCTGTCCTTTCACACGCCACCGGGCCGCCTCCGTTCGCTATAATATTGTTATTATTATTGTTATTATTATTATCGTTATACGCTATTATACAGTACCTATCTGTTTTTTTTTTTATTATTATTGCCTGCGCCTTTTATAATACGTTGGTACAAAAAAAAAAGCTATCGTTGAAAACGCACGCCAAGTACAAAACTAAGATGTTTTACCTAACTCTTCAGTTGCAAGAAAATATCTCTGAAAATATTTAAATTTTTTGCGAATTTTTTTCCCCCTATAGTTGTAAGTAAATAGTTTACTACATGTTTCAAAACTTAGACGGTTTTTATCTTCATCCCTTATGTCTACTTTTAGGTACACATTTTACTACATTTTTCAATTTTTTTATCGCCAATCCTTAAAAGCTGAAAAAAGGGGTAATTTTTTTTTTTTTAATAGCAACATATGTTTTTAATTACATACACTTGTAAACGAAAAATCAAAAAAATATGTTAGCGTTTGAATTTCGAATTTTCATGAATTTGTTCATTTGTTATGACTTTAGAAAGATTTGATTTTTTTACTGTATTTCTTAATATTTTCAATCGTTACTACAAAGACGAGTAGTTTCATTACAACATATGAAAATAATTTGACGTGTTACCGTACTCTGTACTGTAATTTTTTCAAAATATTTTTATAGTGACTTCCTAATTGTTAGAATTTTATCGCCAATTGGACAATGCGAACATTAATATGAATTTTATGTGCTACCGGGTTTGGAGTCTTTTCAAACATTTCCACTGTTTTCGGCCGAGCGAGCTATCTGTTTTCATATTATAGTCTGTGGTATTGTTTTTACCATTTGTTTTTATTTTTGTTTCTGCACAACGATAATAGCTTCTAAAATGCTGAACCGGTTTCTTCGTGTAGCAATTCTATAGATCAGAAATCATACCTGAAGGGTTTTTTATTGGGGCCAAAATTAAAAAAAAAAATCACCCTTCGCCTTCAAAAAAGTCGAATTAGTTCCGAATGTGTAAGTAAATATTCTTTAAACCTCGTAGTACTACCGTTAAACGTTGACATTTTTGTATTATTTCGCTTTTTTAGGTAAAGTTTTAGGGATTAAGGTCTGACAGTTATAGGCGGACGATCGACCCTAATCGTATCTTAAATACTAACACTACGTTTTTAAGCAAATTATTGTCATGGAGTACAAAGACTTTTATCGATATTTGTATTTCTATCTTACCGGTACCATAGCACCGAAGCGTTTATTTGAAAGTGATTTGATCACTTTCAGTTGTAATAACTCATATTATAGACTTGTGACCTATATCGCCCCAGTATGATTTGTCGCCACTATGCCCCGACCCCGGTGTTCTGGCTTTTTTTTTTTGACACGGTATAAGATATTATACATTTGGGATGAACAATTTAAGGTATTTTAGCAGTGTCAGATTTGTCTTAGGTCCGTTTGAGGTTAGATTTCGATTAGTTAGGTTGGATTTGGATTGGTCAGGCTCCAACTATTGATGGACAAATTCCTTATTTAAATAAACATTTTTAGTTACAGAAAAGGACATATTAAAGACAGAATAAAGCATAATGTGCTTTGTTTTGCACACTCCACGTGAAGGGCAAAGATGGTAAAGCAGGGAGGGAGGGGGAGTCAGTGTGAGCTTATCGAGAGAAGTGATAAAATACTGAGAAATAAGTGTTATGTACTACAATGAACCGCAAAACCATGTCAATGATACAATGTTTTACCGTGGAGCGATTAATAAAAAAACGATTTATAGTCGTTTTTGGACTAAGAAGGTTCAATTGAATGAGAACAAATAATAATAATCTTACCTTGTGGCGAAGCAGCGGCCGCCGCGGCAGCCGCTGCGGTTATCCTCAAGAAGGCGGCTGAAGCTAAGTGCTGCTGAGGCGGCGGTGGTACATAACTTCCCGTGCTGCTAGAATTACTCGCACTGCTACTGCTCCTGCAGTCACCCAAAATGGCGTTCACGCTGAAAGTGATCTTCCTTTCTTCTTGTCCGTGTCGAGTGCTCGAACAGTGTTGTTCCATTACCGTTTCGTCTATCAACACATGCATCAATAACAATAATATTAATACATGTTGGTCCGTTTATCGCAATACACTAAAATGATCAACAAACAACTACTTTGTAGCTCTCCTCTAGGAGACATTTTAGATAATGTTATTGTTGTTATACGTTAGACAACGTGTAATATTTTTTAAGTTGTTATTTTTTTTTATAATTTTATTGTTATTAGTTAGCACGAATTTGGGTAAATTTTCAAACAATATAGTTTCAGCCACGAAACAAGTGCAGTCAAGCGGTGCATCGATAACATTACCGGCAGCCTCATCCCCAGCAGTTTATACTTTTAAATGACTCAAGAAGTAGGATTTATCCATAACTGATTTCATACCCAACATTTCTGAAGTGTATTACATAATTCTGCTGTCCATAGGTAAATCTAATGCAAGGTGATTGGTAGGATCGGCCTGCCAGGGCGGGGCTAGTTAACACAATACGTGGAGTTTGCTGTGGAAAATACTACTATAAAGTTGCAGGTATATTTTCAAACAGTAAACAAACCCATCTATTTCATGTAAGGTCTATGAGCTTAAAATTATTAAAAATGGTAACATTTATATTTAATGAACTTTTTAAATGAAGAACGATTTGCTGAAAGTGTTGACTGGTCGATTTTTTATAATTACTTTTAGAGCTACTAAAGTTTAACATTCAGAATTGGTGGTAAAAACAATACTACTCTCCACCCTCGTTTCCGTCCTAAACTTTTCACTTTAATACATCAATATGTATTTAATACTTAAGTAGTGTTTTCATTTATTCTTTTTCAAACTTTTATTAGTTATTAGTTATTCCAAATTTTGTAGGTATATTTTCAAACAGTATACAAACCTTATGTGACAACAACCTAACGAACTTATTAAATGGTAATGTTTATTTTTAATTTACTTTTTAAATTAAGAATGATTCGCTGAAAGTGTTGACCGGTCCATAATAACGTTTTGTATAATTTATTACTGATGTTTAAAATTTAGAATTGGTGTGTAGGATGCGCGAGTGTAATGGGGGCAAATAAAAATAATACTACAGTCCCCTCCTACCGTCCTAAATTTTTAACTTTCAATTTATTAATAATAATGATATTTATTTATTTTTTAAAGATTTATCTATATATTTTATCCTTTTTTTTTTTAATTTCAAACATTTTACTAAACATTTTTACTGGTAGATACAGTTTCAAATCATTATTTTTAACTTTAAGCAATATAGTCCATATTGAAATCAGCATATTGACCACTTTATTTTTTATTGTTACTTATTTGTTAGCGCGTTATAAGCATTTGAAAAATGTACAATCTTAATTGCCAAAAAAAGTATCGCCTACAGATTGTAATGTATACACAACTTTAGAAGAGACCCAAGTGCAAAAATTACAATAAAATAAGTTAAGTACCTTAACTTACATTATAATAATAGCTTTTTAGTGGTTTATTGTGTATTGTGAGCGGTTATTTTTTAAGTATTTCAAAATAGGAATAGAAAAATTCCTTGTTGGAAGGGTTCCAGACAAGATGGCTCTCAAATACTCTACTGCAGTTATAATTGGGTCATTCCATGCCAAACTATAACGAGTTATACATTTTATAAATTATGGTTTGATATTTTTTTTTTGCAATACCCTATTAATAAATAACCTACTAACAGTTTTATTTTGTTTTTCAATTTATATGGTTTTCAAGGGAAAACGAATATTTAAAAGCCTACTTTTCTTAGATTGATAATTTAAAAAAAATAGATAAACTGTTTGCCAACGATGGGACTATTTAAATGGTCAACAATTGCCGACACCGATTTTTAAAGAAATAAATTATTACTTTTATTAAATTTTACATTCCAAAATTTTAATGTAACTATGCTTATTAAGAAATTAAGCAAAACCTTTCTAAATAAGTGAAAATAACTAAATTTTTAAAAAAATTCAATATTAACATATATTTTTGTTTTTTTCTTCAAAATTAACGAAAAGTAAGTACAATTTAATCAAATTATTGTAGAATTTTTTGGAAGGAGTGACAGAGTCAATCAGGCCTTCCCTTTCATAAGATAATTTTTTTAAATCCACCAAAACCTAAATTAAGTTCGTCAAATTATTTACAAATAAATGCACTATAATGGCATAGGTAAGTTGGAAAGGTAAAGTGAAGTTACTGTTGTACAGGGTGGTTTTGTTAAGTGATCCGCTTAATATCTTGTTGGGGTTAGTTATTAAATTGTTTTATTTTTTCATAGTGTTTTTGTACAATGTGATATCAAATAATCATACAATTTTATGTTCTTATTCCCCTTCTATATTAAATAATTATGAAACTTGGTAACATAAGATACATTTTTGTTAACTATTTGAATTGAAAACGTTTTACTAAATAACTTTTAAATGGTCGATAACCAGTTTAGGGTGATTATTTTTATCATGATTTTGGCATATATAAATGGTGTCAACAAAGTTTTATGTATTTAAATTTAAATACAAACATTTAATGTTCTGCTATTGCTTTTTATTTAAAGAGAATTGTCTATTGGGTTTCATTTTTCTTTGGGCAATTTTAATTTAACAAGAGTAACGACAGTACATAAAAGCAAAATTTGACTCCAAACTTTCTTTCAATGATCATGTACCTACATTTTATTAGGAATAAAGCACATTTTAACATTTTAGAAAGCCATTGCAAACAAACAGATTGATGAGAATTAAAAACTCTAAAGCTAACATTTTTTTTTTAATATTTTGTCTACATGTTTGTGGAGTTGAAAACATATGTTCCTGTTTGAAAACAACAAAGTCCATACCTCTTTTACGTATGATGGATGAAGGTAAAAATTGTCTAAGTATTTAAATAAATAGTAATATATCAATATATGAACCATATACATCCATATTTTCCGAAAAAAGGAGCGTCTTACAGGAGACCCTAAGTACCTCCGAATCGCAAATAGATAATGTGTTTTGTAGTAGATTTATACCTATAATTATTAAAAAAAATTTTATAAGACACTAAACATGTTTTTTGAAAAATACAACACAACACTTTCTATCAGTATTGGAAGTAATCGATTACAACAATTTAATCGTGATTAAATTAATCATTAATCATCGAATATAAAATTATTACATTAACCGTTATATTGTAATCATAAAATTATTAAAAATGTAATTTAGATAAATAATTTTAAAATTTCAAAAAATCAATTATTTTATCTGAACTATGTTGAAATGATATTTCAACAATATGCACATGAAATACAATTCAAATAGAATGTATTTCTGGAAAACGCTACCTAAATGCTTTCTTTGATGTCTTTATACTTGCTTACAATTATGATTAATGTAACCATGATTATAATATCACATGATTACAGTAATCATACCTACATGATTACTTTTCTGACTATGTTTACATTAATCTAACACTATAATTACTGATTACAGTTATCATTAATCGTAAATGAGATTACAATTTGCCCAACACTGCTTTCCATGCGACGTTCCTGTCGACCTATATGTTATTGCATTTTATTGTCGTTACAGTTGTATGTATTTATTATACAGCTGTCCTTGTTAAATATTTGAAATTTTTTAATTAAAAAACTGTATCAATTTTGAAAATGTTCATAATTTCCGAGAAAACGAGTGTCTCGTGTGAGAGATGGACCACCCACCCACCTTGTATTGCTGAGATACTTTATGTATATATTTTACGAAAAATACTCGAAACTGGAATTTATTCTCTTGGCAATAAAACATTATCACGATAAACTCTCACCGTTTTGTTCGTCGGTACTGCTAGCCGTACTGCTGCTGGTCGTACTGGCCGTCCTTCTCCTGGGAACGGTCCTCTTCCTCCTTCTGGCTTTACCGCCGCCGTCGTCGCCGTCGCCGTCGCCGTCGCCGCAGTGGTCTTGGTCTTTTCCCAAAGACTTGGGGCCGTCGGTTTCGATGCCGTCGCCATCGTCGTCGTTATTGTTGTTGCACGTTATCAATAGGTTGTGTATCAGAAACGACGTGGAAGACGTTCGGTACCGGTTCTCGTACTGTTGCAACTTGGTAGGCGGAACCGGGTTGTCCGCCGAGTTCTGGTTGTCACCTCTCTGTTCGCCCAATATACGACCTCCTTGGTCATCTTCGACCGTTTGCACCGGTGACCCCGCCGGCGTGGACGCGATCAGGGTGGCCGGCAGCATGGCAGGATGGCCAACCGAACGGATCTAAAAAACCGAGTACAACACATCAATGGCATCGGGCGAATCTTCCGCGAACCGCTTAGACGTTATTCATTTTTTTTAATTTTTTTTTTTTTATTTAAAACAATACAATCAATTTACAATCTGTTGGACTAAAACGACGAGCGAATCTGATGAAAAAATCGTTTATATTGTAAACACACACACACACGAATGATCTGAATATCATCACGGGGCTGTTCAACATTTTACTTTTAATAATTTAGAACAAAACAAAAGGCAGGACAAATGCTTGACAAAAGGATTTTGATAGTCGTTCTCGATACGCCATGGAGTCACACCGCTAAAGAGTGTCTTAGACTAAAAGATAGGAACGCTTGAAGAGGACGACTTGCGGAAGGTTTGGCAAGAAATTAGGCATAGAAATTAGGACTTTGCGGTTAACACATAATGTGGATTTAAGAATCGGTCCAAGCAAAATAAAGTCGTTATTACAGTCGTTAAATACACACATATCAATCGTATTATAATAACTATCACACGGTAATATTATATAATCGCAAAATAATAGAACACACGGCGTGCCGCAATATCCTAATGATACATCTGGTTATATTACGCCGCTACGCTTTATATTATTACAGCGATTGTAATTTAACTACATACACGTGAACCGTGGATCTAGGATAAGACACCAACTTTAAAAAAAGGTTCTATCCAAAATTTTCACAAAATTGCTATTATTTCGCAAGAGGATACGGGGTGTCTTGTCCTTAAAAAAAAAAAAAATCGGTTCGCATAAATATAATTTATATATTTTCTTTTAAATTTCGCCACACTCACTTTTTTGTCGAATCGCACTTTGAATACGACGATGACGATGACGATGATGACCGCAGGTAATTGAATAATTTAATTTAAGTACACATTCCGCAAGACTCTCGGATCGCACGGGCCGCCGATTGGACAACAATACCCGTCGTCATAATGGCCGGCAATCGACGGTTGTTATTACCAATGTAATTATGATTGTTATTAGCGTTGTAGTAACGTTGCGGATGCCGTTATAAAGGCACGTCAACGACTCGGTGTCGTCGAGGAGTTCGTACCGTACTGAAGCCGTAAGGGACGTTTTGCCAGAGGGATGCTAGGAGTACACGCGACGGCGCTTAACGCCAAACCACCCACCCCGTCCGTTTGTCCGTCTCCGTCCAACCCTCATTGTTCCTCCCTTATCCTTTTGGGGTTCTTTTGTTTTGTTTTTTTTTTTTTTTCCACCCCCAAAAGGGACTGTCAGCTGCAGCTACACACAACGGGCACTGCGATAATTTCCCGACGGCCATCGCGATGGGCGGAGCCGCACGTTTCGCCCTTAAACACACACACATCTCTTTCCCTTAACCTTATCCTTACGTCTCATCCCGCCACCCCCCCTTGCCCTTTGTTTGTTTGTCGTGTTACGTCGTACACCGACAATACGGTTTATACGAACAAACGGTCAACAATAGTACTATTACTGTTATTACTGTTTGTCGGCACCGAATGCGAATATAAAACACATCTTCCGTACCTACCCCCCCCCCCCCCCCCATAAAAGGGTTATACCGGTTTCATGACGCAGACGTTGTTTCTATGGACATAATAATATTATTGTCTTAACTAAAAAGTTTCAAACGAAATATCCGTTATTGTATTATTATTATATTTAACGACCGGCGACAATAATTACTATCCGAGTTTAAAACATTATTAATGGGCGACTGTTAATATTCAAATGGCGACCCTACCGCAGTGTTAAATACTTATTATTATGTAAAGTTTAACGTTTAAGGCGGAAACAAAGGTGGAGAGTAGTATTGTTTTTATCTGCGCGCACAATATACACTCTATACCACTGAACTCTCGGTTATGGATTAGTCGACATTTTTCAGTAAATTATTCTTAATTTTAAAAGTTAATCAAATATAAATGTTACCGTTCGATGATTTTAAGCTCATATGGTTTTACCCATAAGGGATGGGTTTGCATACTGTGTGAAAATATACCTACAGAAATCGAGCTAACTAATAACTAACAAAAGTGGGAAAAAGAATAATTTAAAAACAGACCAATATCTTTTAATATACTGGCTGGCTCATAGTTAACCTATCACCAGGGTCAGCACCTAAAGGGCCCCAAAAAAAAATTGTATTTGTACATTTATACAATTTTATAGTGGGAGTTCCATCTTACCTATAGTGTTATTTGGCTATGCCTTGGCCCGGACGATCCTGCCAATCACCTTGCATTAGATTACCTATGAAAAACAGAATGATGGCTTAATACACATAATAATAATTGACACATAATGACTGGTAGATAACAATAAAAACACTGTAACGTGAAATTTGAAGCACCTTGTATAATGAAAAAAAAAATTACAATATTACCTAGTGCTAGGTAATTCTACACAGGGTGTTTTGCCTACTTTGTGACGGGAAACTTATTTTTATACGTTTTTAGCACAATTTTAAGTTAGAAAAATAACCTGAGCATAACTAGAAAATACATAAACAACATTATTGTGCAAACCAAAACACATTAGAACGAGATGTCCATTACATGGGTTGCCTCCAATGACACAACATACTATTCACAATGAGTCAATTGATATTCTTAACTAAAATAAACATAACAAGAATTAGGACTTACTTTCAAAAATCTCCATTTTTATATTGTCTTTAGCTATCAAAATTCAAATAAAATATACATAATATTAGATATTAGGTATATAACATTTGTAAATTACATTATAAGAGGGAGAACTGCTACAATTATATTTTGTAGTTGGTCGATAACTAGTGTAGTTAAATTATGGTATTTACGTTAAGTAAAAGCATACAAAAAATTAATAAAATATTTGCATTTTTCAGCCTAAGATTAAAAAAATATATCTGTAACTTTACACCCTTTCTCGCAGAAGGGGGAGGAACTTTTTCTTCTTAAAATTTCTTTTTTTTTTGCGCATTCTTAGTGTTTAATATGAATAAGTGTACAATAATTTGTTCAACATTTTTTTATCTTATTTTATACACTACGGCGTAGGTAACGTTATACCTTATAATAACTATTTTGGCAAAGAAACATATTATTTAAAAATATTTTGCACGTTTAAGATGACGTTTTACGCGATTTAATGATGTTGTTTTTTTTTTTCTAAGCCCACAACTGAGTCGTTAAAAGAAAATATAAAAGGAACCAATTGAGTGTGTACGTTCCACAAGCAATGTTCATTTAAAGAACAAGACGAGACAAAACCCGATTTCAGTCCAGTCGCAGTCGGTCTAATAATAAAGCAGATAAATTCAAAACTAGTCGGGGATATTGAAGTGAATCCAAAGTGTATATGAAACAACGAGACGGGTCGGGCGGCATCGAGTTAATACTTTTAACCAGGTCATTGCTAACACTATATTTTGTAAACTATCATTGGGCTATTTATAAAAAATTACAAATTTTAATGGCGAATAACAAAATTTGCATACCTACTATTAAAAATCCTTCCGACGTGTGCACGGCCCGTGACCAGTAATTTATTTATAGACGTGTTCGTTATAGATAATAGATTATATTTTAATAACGGGCCAACACAAATTGCTTGTATTCAATGATTTTTTCAACGAAAAAATTACACGAGCTGTTAAGCTTCTAATAAAACCCTCACTGTAATTTAATTATTGATAAAAAATCATATTATATTATATTAAAACGGTAATCGTTAACACTCTCAAATAGCAACATAGATATGTAAATATATATTTTAATAATCTATAAAAAACAGAATTTAGTAGTGAAAATAACTTGTTAATAGTCAAGTTTCGAGTTGTGTTAATATTATTAGCGTTTAAAGTTTAGGCCCCAGTAAAGAAGTGCGGGTGAGTGAATATAAATAACATTACAGCCTACCATATCCCCAGTCGATAAATATATCTACAATTTTCCATACTTATTAAAAGAACATAGCTATAGTCAATAGTCAATTTTTGAAAACAAAAAACAAAATTTCCAGTTATTAACATTTTAAATTTAAGCCAGAAACCAAGTGCCGGCGCAGGTGGTGCGTGTGGATAACCTCACACCCAGTCTATACCTTTAAATGCTAACAGCTCAAGAAGTAGGATTTATCCATAACTGATTATTATCCAACAGTCATTATATGTATTATATTATCATTCTGCTTTCCATAGGTTAATCCAATGCACCTTGCATTACATAACTCTGTTGTCCATAGGTAATTCTAATGTAGGGTGATTGGCAGGCCTAACCAGGGCGGGGCCATTCAACGCAATACGTGGGATTTGCTATGGAAAAACCACCTATAAAATTGTGTAAAATAAATTAAAAGTACAAATAATATATTATCACACGCTGGGTTATTACAAATTTATTGTGTTAGTGGTATTTTTTCAATGAAATAATCATGTAAGTTACAAAGTTTCTCACAAAATACTGCACATATGGGACAAGGCCACTTTTTCTAATATTGTTCATGAGAGACAAAGAAAAGCAAACCTATATTGTATGGAATAATAAAGATATTATTTTTAAATTTGGTGTCCATTTTTAATGGTTACATTAAAATGTTAGTATAGTTATAAAAAAAAAAAATCCAATAATTTTTTTTTCAACTCATTTTTTTAAGACAAGGACATGCCTCTTTTCTGCAGTGAACTTTGTAAACATTTTTATTTTTAATACATTAACATAGCACCCATCCCCACTCTAGCAAATTTTAAACACCAAACAAAAATATTAATATAATCTTTAATTATTATTTTTTCGGGCTATTGGTCATATTGTAAAATAGGCATAAAATTATTAAACAAAATTGTGATCTTCATTCAACACTGTTTGATCATATTAGAAAATTGGGCCAATTTAAAATTATTATTAAAATAAAAAGCGTATTAAAATCGTGTCGTTTATTGTAAAAGTGAATTATGTCCTTGTAATTAAATTTCGAAATAACGTGCTTTTTGTAAACTAATGTTTAGTAAAACAAATACAAGTAACTATTCGTTCAGTGTTTTCTACTTTTTATTTATTTTTCATTTAAAATATGTATATTTTAAAAATTTGGAGTAACACCACTTTTACAATAAGCGACATTTATATTTTACTTTTTTTTTTAATTAAAATATAATACATTATTAAGAATATATTGTAACGTATAAATTTATGTAAGTGTTTGTATTATTCATTGTTAAAGCAATATGGACTATATTGCTTAGAGTTAAACAAGTAGTGACTGAAAACTATTTGTCTAGCAGTAAACATTTTTAGTAAATTGTTTTAAATTGAATAAGTGGATAAAATATATAGATAAACCTTTTAAAAATAAATAAATATTATTATTATTAAAATTAAATTAAATTTCAAAATTTAGGACGGTAGGAGTGGACTGTAGAGTAATTTGTATTTGGTCCCCATTCGCGCATTCTACACAAAATTCTAAATTTAAACATTAGTAACTCTAAAATTAATTATACAAAACGTCATTATCGACCAGTCAACACTTTCAGCGAATTATTCTTTTTTTAAAAATATCAATAAAATATAAACGTTACCATTTAATGGTAAAACAAAAGTAATAATTTTAAGTTCATAGGCCTAACATAAAACATAATTTATGGGTTTGTATACTGTTTGAAAATATACCTGCATTTTTATAGTAGTATTTTCCATAGCAAATTCCACGTATTGTGCTGATTAGCCCCGCCTCTGCCCGGCCGATCCTGCCAATCACCTTGCATTAGATTTACCTATGGACAGCAGAACTATGTAATACACACATAATGAATGGTGGATAATATTCATCGTACTTCTTTGGCTGTTAGCATTTAAAGGTAGATGTATATAGACTGGGGGGTGAGATTATCCACACGCACCAGTCGCCTGTCACTTCTCTCCTGGTCAGAATTTTAAATGTTTGCAACTGAAAGTGTATTTGTTTATTCGAAACGGGTTAAAACTGTCTTTTGACCGTTTCGTTGGAAAATAATCACTGCAGCCGTAACAGTTGGCGGCCCGTATTGTATTTTATTGTTGTTTTCAATACTAATATTATTATTATTAGTTTTTCTCGGGGGTTTTTTATCTATTTTTTTTTTTCTAGTCGTTCGGTTCAGTATAGTCGCGTGACCGTGATTGTGGTTATTAAAAAATCGTTTCGGTCGACGTTTTGCCACGATGTTAATAATAGATATAAAAACGCAGCAGAGGCGGATTAGTCAGCTTTGTATTATTATTACACACGTGTGCCACCGTATGGAGGTGCGGCGCCGGGTGCACGCAATGTGTTGCACACAAGGTCCCACTCGCTACTCCTTCCGGCGGAATCTCTCTCTGTGTGTGTGTGTATATATATATATATATATATATATATATATATATATATATATATATATATATATATATATATATATGTATAAAAGGGACGGCGATCCCTGCGAAAAGCTTGTAACAACCGACAACGGCCACGGCTTTTAGTCTCTCACTGGCCGGCGTTCTCTTCTTGGCTGCTGCTGCTCGATCGGTTCAATTGAAATAACAAATACAACAGATATCCGTCGCAGATTGAGTAATCGAGATTCGTTCACGCCAAACAACACCATGGTCTACTCCAGCGATTTCTACACCAGCCGCAGGCCCGCCTACTACAAGCCTTCCACTTCATACTCCATCACCGTGAGTATATATGTATAAACAAAAAAATGTGAAAAATATGTTTTGTTTTTTTTGCTCTTAAAAAATATATATATATATATACATACTTTTTTATATAATAATTTATACAAAAACAAATCACAATTATTGATATATATATATATTCATATATATATACATACACAAGTAAACCGTTGCAGTAATTACGTATTTTGTACTCAGACGGTGTAGCGCAATCAAATTTATCTAGTATTTTGTTTTTACTTTTTCAATTTTTTTTTTTTTTGGTAAAAATATGGTTTTAGTATTTTTTGTTTGTTTTTTAAACAACGACGACGGCGATTTTACACGGAATAAACTTACCATCTATTCTTAACACCTATTCACCACCCATTTGTACATACACCCGATTAAAAACAAATTTTTAAAAACGACGATCACGACTAATACTAATAATATTATTATGTATTTATAGCTGTTATTATTGTTTTCGAATTAACTATATATACCTATTATTTTATTACACCTAAGCCCGCCCTGTATTGTTGTGTAATCACTGCGGTACCGAGTCGACCAGTTGCAAAACTCATACAACACAATCGTTGCATCATAATTGTTGTCAGAACATGAATATTTTTAAAGTTGCTCATTTCCTATACTTGTAAGTTGTACATACATTACTATACTACTTAAATTAGATTATTTATGAAAAACGTTTAGTCCGACGGGTTAAACTTTCGGGAAGTTAAAAACAACTGTTTTTCACATAGGTACAATTTTACTGTGTTAGTATCTGTATTAATCTTTGTTCATTTATATCAAACTAGTATATATATATATAATAAACCCTTGGGCCTAAACGGGTTCCTTATGCTCTATACTTATATTTTATAATTGTGAATACCAATTTTCCAAATGTATTTTAACAGTAAGGTTCTTTGAAATAAACTAACTTGACACTTTCAATAGACAAATGACTCTTTTTCATAAAATATAAACGTACCAAATCACAAACGGGATTGTTTGCAATAGATTGATGTAGACTAAAATTACTTAACCAATAATTATGACTTTTAAACAAATGTTTATAAACATTTTTAAATAATTAATAGGAACTTTTTTTGTAAACGTTCGAATCGCCTCAAACTATCATACTAACTTGACTCTTTTGAAAAGTAAACGATTTAGTTTATTTTTTCATTAATACAAATTTAAATGCTAATACTATTATAATTTTTTTTTAAATAATATTTTTATAAACTTTAATACATAATATGAACAGTTTAATAAACAAAGCATGCAGAACGACTTCAGTACCTCCTAAATAATACAAACCAGTTTAATCCGTTTAGTATGCACTAAATACAATATTGGTTTAACCTTCCTGTAATAAGAGATACATTTTAAATAATTCTCTAAAAATATAAATATCGTTTGTTTTTTAATTTTCATCATTATGTCCACCTTCTTTTGCGTATAAGAGATGAAGATAACAACTGTCTAAGTATTGAAACTTGTAGTAAACTATGTACTTACAACTATAGGGGAAAAATCAATTTCAAAATATTCATATTTTCCAACTAGTGTCTTAGATCAGATGAAGTCTCTGAATTGTTTAAGAAAGATGTGTTTTTTTTTTTATGTATCAAAACGGTTGTAATGTTTGCAAGTGGTCGGCTTGTACGCAGTGCAAACAGATAATGTGTTCTGAAGTAGATTTATAGCTATTAATTGATATTATTTTTTTTTTGTAAGATACTAAACATGTTTTTTGTATAATATAACACAACGGTTTCCATACGTTTCTGTACCTACGTGTTATTATATTTTTATTGTCGTTATAGTTTTATGTATTTTTATATTATACAATTGTTGTCTGTTAAACGCTGTTATAAAAGTTTATTAGCGTTTGTAAATAATAATATAATATTTTATTCAACCGGGCCGAATTCCACACATACAACTGCGCATTGCGTTTCGCTTTTTATTTTGGCTGCCACTCAACACTATATTTGTAGAAGTGCGCACGGTCCGGCAATCTATATATAAAATGTTATACACAAATAGTGTACGATTACTCGAAACTTGGAAATAAATAACAAAACAACAACGGTTATTATCGCCGTTTCCTCAAGCCGACAATTGGTTTCTTACATATTTGGCGCACATTTCATAGTTCTCATAATATGGTCGTGGCTGGTTACAATAATATTTTATGTACAATATCCGAGTCGAACAAACGCCTTTAAAGAAACGGTACCGATAGGGTGACTTTTAAAAGTCAAATAGCGACCTGTGTATTTGATTTGCCCGCGAAAAGCCAAACTATGCAATGGAAACGACGATGACTGGTCGATGGGGATTACCAGTATTTTATAGTGGGTTTTTCACGTATTGCGTTGATTGGCTCGGCCGATCCTGCCAATCACCTTGCATTAGATTTACCTATGGACAGCACAATGATATAATACACACATAACGACTGGTGGATAATATTCATCGTACTTCTTGAGCTGTTGGCGTTTAAAGGTAGATATTATATAGACTGGGGGATGAGGTTATCCACACGCACCAGTCGCCTGGTACTTCTCTCCTGGCCAAAACTTTAAATGCTAATAATTTGAAAAATTATTTTCTAAAAACTCAACAATTACTTAGTCATTTTCACTACAACATTCCGCCTTTATCGGGTAATCAAAATACAAAATATGTATGTCGCCATTTGACCATCGTTAACGTGTATTCATTAAAACTACTCTTTAGATAATAATATTTTTCTACTAGTAATGAAACAATTAATTTTCCATCGTTTGTTGAAAGTAAATTGAGCATTTTTTTTTTTAGATTACATAATTTTTTTTCGTTGAAAAATTCCCTTAAATTTGGACAACTGTGCTATTTTATATTATATGTTTATAAGTATTTAATTGTTTGTGTGTATTTAATGTATACTATACTGTTTAATTGTTACTGTATTGTATATTATATTATATGTACGTGGGGACAGGGGCTTTATGTTAACGGATCGGCTACGCCTATAATGGGTTTATAACTCGCCGAGCACGAGTTATGCCGACGACGACAATGCTGCAACACACACTGTATAAGGATGGTGGGGGTGGTTGGAGGTGGTCAGGGGTGGTTAGGGGATGGTCGGGGGTGGTTAGGGGATGGTTAGGGGCGGGGAGGGTGCACACGACCGCGTTTAAATTGTTTCGGCTTTGACCAAGTATAATGATCATGTTGTAATGGTATGCATGTGTGTGTGTGTGTTGCAGCGGGAAGAGGACACACCGCAAGAAGGTGGGAGACCGTCGAGTGTGGACGTCAATGTGAGGAGGAATAAAGTGTACACGAGCCGAGTGCCGTGGCACAAGGTGCCGGACGTGGCCAGGCCCAGCCAGGTGCCGGAGCCGTATTTGGTGTACGGCCGGCAGGGCGGGCCGGCCCGCAAGACGGACGCGTGCCAGCCGGAGGAGGCCGACCAGCTGATCCGGTCGGCGCTGCTCAGGAGACACTTGCACGAGACCGAGACCATACCGTCCAAGAACCACGCGTCCAGATCGTCCCGGTACGGTCTGAGTCCGGGCACCGTGGACGGGCACGAGGGCAAGACCAGGAGACGCATCGCTTTCAGCTCCGTGCCGCCGCTGACGTACCGTTACTATCATTAAGCCGACGCCCGCCCACGTACAATAGATATAGATATACGTATACATCATAAACATATAATATAATACCTAAGTACACAAAACACATCACACTATTGTTATGTACGCTCGCACACACATATAAATATATATATAATATATTATATCGTCGCTTAAAATGCAACACCGCCCATCTCGTTTCGCTGGACTTACAAGAGAACAATTATGTCCATAGACATATTAGAACGGCCGTTTATAGAAGGGGGGGGGGCGCAACCGCGATTGGTTAGAGGTGCAGCGAGTTGCCCGATTTTGATTGGCCACTGCGACTTGTTGCCCTATTTTGATTGGCCACTGCCCTGTTTTGTCCGGTTGTCGATTCGCCGCGCAAATTACAAAAAAAAACCAATGCGGCCAACGAGACACGAGGTGGTTGCATCTCGAGCGACGATATATATCATATCAACCTATATTTTTAGCTTTTACTATTATTTTTTTTTTCATGTTATCGCCGCCGTTGTCGTTAAAAAGCAAAAAAAAAAATATTTAAAACATTATTATTATTATTATAAATTACCTCAAGTTTCGAAAGAAAAAAAAAATCGTTGTATATCTTTTTTCCTGTCCATCCGCTAAAAAAAAAAAACGGAAGATAAAATTTTTTTTTTTTTTGATGTTGGCGGAAATTAATATATATACATATATACGTATGTATATTTAATAATATCAATATTTAGACGCCGAGATACACGACCAGCAGCTATCCGGTGACGTCGTCCGTACCGGAAGTGCACAGGCAACAGTACGAATACGTGGTGGAACAGCGGACCACCAGCGGCGGACCCGCCGGCCGGTCGTACACGACCACCGAACGCGTGGAGAAGAACAACGGACCGGGAGGCTTGACCATCGAGCGCAGCACACGGTCCAACGACGGCAGGCCGGGCGGCTATCACTCTTCGTACTCGAGCACCAGGTCCGGAGGAAGGCCCGGCACGTACAGACATTTCTCGTACAACGTTTAAATACAAAAACAAAAAATATATAATCTAAAAAAAAAAAAAACGATGAAAAAAATACCTAATTTATCGTCGTCGCTGTTGTTGTTGTTGTTGTTTTCGGATTATAATCGTTATAAAATATATTATTTCATGTAATATTATTATTATCATTACCTACCTATATTGTTGTTGTTACCAGCTACACTTACTAATCACAGTGTTTAGTGCTCGCTTAAAATTAAATATATATATATATATATTAAATCGCCGTCGTTGACTAAAAAAAAAAAAAAAATGAAAAAATAGTATTGCAATATTATCATCCCTTGTAATTTATTTACACGATTGTGAAAAAAAATATATACGTGTGACATATTAAATATTTATTTATTCGTTTTTGAAAAACAGTATTTTTTTTGTTTTTTTTGTTCTTTGCACAGCCCATTTACTCATCCGACGGATATGACATACCGCCTTCGTACTATAAGGTAACACACAGCTTAATATATAATTACAAAAACATGGCGAAATTTAATAATATACTATTATGTGCCAAAAAAAATTTGTAGTGACTCGGATGTGTACAATAATAGTTATTATACCGACAAGGTCTATGTACGAGTACACGAATCTGTAATGGTATTACTATAAAAGCGTTGTACTTACATTACTTGAAAATGTTTAAAAAATGTATTTTTGTTATTAGGGTGGACACGCAAATAGGGTTGATGGCTTAATCAACAGTATAAAACGGGGCAACCTAGAAATTGACTACGGTTAAAGTGTAACTTTCCCTTTTTTGGGGGGTTTTTAATATAAAAAAAAAAATCTAAATGTTAATGGTCCATCCTAGACCTTAGGCTCATCACCTAAATAAATAAAAAAGTTTCCACCCGTTTTTGGGGAAAGGGGTTATGATATTTGTTTGGTTTATCTAGGTAGTACTATGTCTAATGACTATTCCACACAAATTTGGAACTAATTCAACTACTTAAACAAAATAGAGCTCGTTTTACTCGATTCGAAGGGAAAATGGTGGACTTTTCAAATTTTTGGGTCCAATAAAGCACCTTACAGGTAAGATTTCTGTACTACAAAGTTGCTACGCGAAGAAATCGGTTCAGCTGTTTAGAACACAAAAATTAAAATACATCATTGTAAAAACAATACCTTTTCAGCTCCGAATCGAAGCTAAAATATACTAAACGACGAATAATATTAATATAAATACAATTTAGGTGTTAATGTTTTTGTTTAAGTTTACAGTGTAAATAAGTGCGTTTTTAAATGAATGAATTTATTATAATTACAAGTGCATACCTAACAATGCGTTTAAACTTTAAAAAAAAACATCTTAATTCGAGATAAATAAACTTTTTGGCAGTATGTACATGTATACTATTTTTACTTAAGAGATGATTATTTACAGCTATATATTGACCTATCACATATTATATTTTATTGTTATTTTAAAATGTTTTATTAACACTTTTATAACAACAAATAAATGAGTAAAACTAGACCAATTGTATAGCTATTTAGGAAAGTAGAAGTTTAGACACATACCTATCTTGTTAATAATAAGATCTACTAAGGTTGTCCAAGATGAGTATTTAGTTAAACATCATGGAATTATTGAATGACGAGAGAGTCAAGTCTCCTCAATATATCCTTATAGTTAAACCGATAGGACATTGAATTGAAAAAAAACAATATATCATCTCTGTCCTAACTTCAAATATGTGGCCGCAAGCCAGTCTACTAATATTTTAATTAAACAATTCTAAATGATTGGCCGTTTTTTTTATGATTACTTTATGGGCTATACGCCAAAAAAGTCTCTCTGGACAAATACGACATGCAATAATTTAACTTGTGTAGTATTTATACACTGCAGCTGTAGGTAATACGATGAATGAATAAAGATAATTATTTTAGTTCAGCATGCCATGACGATTGAATGACAACAGAATTAGCGGAAACAGATAATAATGCAAATATTATGCAAAATTCCTGTTTGTATACCTTTTGTGACAAGGATGTATTACAAACAAAACGATATTTTATTTCATTTTTGTTTTTCTCGAGCAGTTCTACCACCAATAATATTATACCTATTTATAGTGTAAAATTAATTTTTAAAAACAAATAGCAATTAAGTTCAGCCAAAGTGTCCCAAGTAAATTCACTCGTTTAATTATTGTCACTATCAATAAAACCGTAACTACGAAATTGCCCAATTTTAGACAACCGTATTTTATAGTTTACCATAATAAATTATACAATTTATGCGTTTGTGCCAAATCAAAATATAAGCCAACTTTAATAATAAAATAACCTTCGCCAAAAGTCAGAACATACGCACGAAATCTGCAAATAGAACACATTATATTTAATTGTAAATATCAGTTTTTAAGCACTCAAACGTTAGCGTGCGTAATGGATATAAATAAAAATATTTCGACCAAAAATAAATATGGGTAATAAATAAACGGCAACGCCATTTTCTAGTTAGTTTCATTTATTTTCAGATACACCTCACGTACAGAATATCATTGTGAAGCCAAGCATTTACACATGCATAAGCATATTATGAGGCCTGCTCGTTATAAATTTAGTATTTGAAATAATTATTTGCAGATTTTCTTTTTACCAATAACCTCTTTTCAATAATATCCGGCGATTTGCAGATTTAGGGTGATTCATTAAGGATAAGACACTAATTTTCTCGGAATATATTAATATTTTGAAAAATATTTTTTTCCAAGATTTTTTGGTACACAACGTAGTATATTTTTCAATATTTTGAAAATTTATATCACCAATCCTCGAAGGCCAAAAAGGGGGATTTTAGTTTTTTTTTTTAAATGGCAACATATGTTTTTAATTACATACATTTGTAGACAAAATATAAAAAAATATTTTAGCGTTTGAATTTTGAATTTTCATTTATTTCAAAATATTGGAAAATATAGTACATTGTGTACCAAAAAATCTTGTAAAAAAATATTTTTAAAAATATCAATATATTCCGAGAAAATTAGTGTCTTATCCTTAATGAATCACCCTGTACCATCCCCTCCTCTCTGGCTTTGAAAAAGTATTTTTAGATGTCTCATTGGGGCGTTGCTTTCTTTATTTTAGGCGCACCAAGTATACCAAACGAGTCCTTTCATACTGACACCCATCACCACAACAGCGAGGCCGTCGGCAAAGGTTTTGCCTTACAACTATAGGTACATACCTGCGCCCACCTATCATCATAGAACCGGTGCGGCATTACACGGGGTGTTAGACAGGATCGAGCACAGGCATCGTTCTCATCCCGGCCACGATGCTACCGACGAGTACTTGAACACCAGGAGTTCCACGGTAATACATACAGCATACCTACCGTCTACTCGGATCGGTTTATAGGTTTAAGAATTTGAACCGAGCAAAGGTTAACCTGGAGGCCCAGGCACACCCCAATATCACAGATTAGACAAAAACCAGATGGTTTTATCTCCCTATTGAAGCAATGTAATTGCTGAAATTCTAAACAAACCAAAACCCGCCTCAACTCAGAGTGACCACTGGTAGAAAACAAAAATCCTTAAGTTTTTTTAGTTTCTTTAAGTAAACAGTACAATAAACTCAAATGATGGATTGGATGGAAGGGAAACACAGAAGCAACTTGATAGTTATTCTTAGAATCCTAGAAAACTCATGTTAAGACAATTTCAATGTTACAGTAGGGAGTAGTAAAATTATCATATATACAATCTTGATAATGTATTTTCAATTGCCAACGAAGGTAGGCGAAAATCATGTTTTTCACATTAACAATGCAGAGGGCGAGGGAAACGTGGCCCGCCTCGGATGGATAATATTAAGTATAATAATGTGATCTCTGATTATTGGTTTAACACGAGGTTTCACGATAGAAACTCTGAACGTTTACGGACCAAATGATACTGACTAATTTCTTTTATTGTGCAGAATTTCGATGACGTGACAAGATCAATACGAGCGCAAACGGCCGGTTTACTTAAACAAGTATACGCGCCAACCATAAGGCCTAAACCGACACATTCTCATTACAAGTAAGAACTAAATCAATATAACATTAAGAGAACGACAAAGCACGTTACCTATTAAGAATGTAGCGCAGTATAGGCTATTTTTTTTTTGCAAATCTTACGAGTTAAAGCTACGGTTTTAGAGTATTAGTGTTTTGGCTCTGAATCCATTAAAGAGACGAGCTATACTCATTTAGTCGAGTCATAACGTTAATAAATGAACAAAACGTTCAGCTAACATGTCAGATTGGACAAATGTATTGTACTGATATTGTATGTTTAATTCGTGTGTAGTACTCATACCGGATACATGGAGTTACCCATAGCGCAGCGGATAGAATCCGACGCTTACATTGAAGCCATTCTGAGAGACTCCCAAACCCATCACTACGACACAATAGGTATGTATCGCACTTGTAATAAAATGCAATGTTTTCCTTAAACGAAATGCCTTGGACCATGTCTTATGATCAGCTGACTATAGCTGTCTCCGTTCGGTTATTTAGGAACCATCGATTTCCCCTTGGATCACATACAATGGATAGAACCAATCGGCATAATGCCCTTTTGTGTGACGAAGGGGTCACGTAGAATTTCCCACAAATCCCCAGACATAAGACATAGTTTATAAGTCGATCAACACATCCCACACTAATGGATTTACATTTTTCTCGATCAAACAGGTAAAGGCCATCTGGCGTGTGTGACTTATGCCGGCGGCAAGGCTTTTGCGCGCAGAAGACCACGGTTATCAGGTGATGCAGAAGTAGACACAAACGTGACAATGCTGTCGTACTACAACAAAACAAGAGAAGCGGCTGCGGCTTCTTCGGGTCGTCCCAGGGTAAAAGTGGATACTTCAGCCAACACTTCCAGCCGAGGTGCCTACGAACCAGGTACGGGTAATATTCGTATAATTACATACAGGGTGTAATGTAAAGTTCTACCGAGCTTCAAATGAGACATTCAGGATGCTTTATGGGTACAAAAAATGGTAATCATTTTTTTTAAATTTTAAAATTATTTAAAACAGAACTCGTATCTCGTTAAAAAATTGTCTAACGAAAAAGATAATTTCACATCTGAAATCGGGAGAAAAAATCTTGTTGAATTGATATGTAACATATCAATTTGGTATCTGGCCACACTTGCGTCCACCGAGTGGCCGGCATGTGACACATCATTTTGGGTTAGAATTTTATTCTCAATTCAGTGGTGTCCTTAGAATTATTTTATATTACACGATGTGTCGCATGCCATAAGTTGGTTTTAGCCACATGCCGGCCACCCTGTGGAAGTATATGTGACCATATATTCATAATTATTAAGTACCTTTAATAGGGCTAAAGGGTAAAAATAAAGTAAATAAATAAAAACATTTTTTTAAAAAATTGATTTTCTAAAAAAAAGTTAACTAAAAAGTAAATAATAATTTTACTACGAGAACAATCAAATCGATTGTAGCACATTTTTTTTAACATGTCAATTACTTCGAAAAAGAACCGTTAATTAACTACAATTTTAAATAATGTTAAACATCTTTATTTTTTGATTAAAAAGAAAAGTGTGGATCATTCAACAAAGTCCATAATAAATTTACCAGATAATGTTTTATATTAAAAGTTTTTTTGTAATTAAAATTTGGTTCAATTTTAGTGTGTGACACATACATTTTATAATACTTAACTCAATGAATTTGGATTAAATTATTATCATTATAATTATTATTTTATTAATATTTATTAGGGACTTTGTTGAATAGGGTCCATGCTTTTCTTTTTAGTAAAACATTTAAGATGTTTAACATTATTTAAAATTGTAGTTAATTTTCGGTTGTTTTCAAAGTAATTGAAATTTTTAAAAAAATTGCTACAATTTATTGGCAATTATTGCTTTTGTAGTAAAATTATTTTTTTTTACTATTTTAGCATGTTTTATAAAAATAAAAACAATGTACTAACAATTTCGACTGGTCGATAACCAGTTTTGGAAAACTATTTTTGAAATTATTGTAGTTTCAAGTTTTATGAATGGTTTTAGTAATTTTTTGTTAAAAGATAATAATTATTGGTATTGCACATTGGATAAGTCGTTTAACTACATTCTGACACTCTAGTGCAAATGTTTGCTTGTATAAAAAGTCGAAGCAATAGAAATTCGAATTTAATAAAACAGTTTTTTCGATTTTACTGCTTAAAGAAATTCACGGTTTTCCAATGTTAGACGTCTAAGAGCCAGCACTTCAGTAGCGTAGACACGGAGGAGGGGGGGGGGGGTAAAAAGAGCCTCCTTTCCCCCAACCTCTTTAAAGAAATCAATTTTTTTTTATAATATAACAACAAAAAATAAAATTTTAAACTGGTAATATGATATTTATTATGAAAATTTTAGTTCACATTTTCATAAACGACCACACTGTAATACTTTTATCATTTATCAATTATCATTATCAAATTAATATTGCGAAAACGCTTATCATTTTATCTAAATAAAATTCTAAAGCTGAAAAATTGTTGATGTTTAACTTTATGTGTCACAAAAATTCTAGTAAATAGTACCTAGTATATGTGGAAAGATTAAAATGAGCAAAAATATGTTAGACGTTGAAGAACATATTTTAAATTTATCTAAACGATATAAAAATTTAATGATTGACTCTGATCGAATTTTAGCACAGTACAAAATAACAAAAAAATTGCGTACAAAATGCACAAACGATTATTGAATTATTGTCTAATATAAATGAAGTTTACAAAGATTTAATTCAAATATATAAAATTTGTTTATGCTTGCCAGTAACTACAACTTCTGTGGAAAGAACTTTTTCTAAACTAACTCTGGCAAAATAAAAAATGCACTACTAATTTTGTTCATTTCAGCTTTTAATATTGATTGTACATTTTAAGGTCAAGAGTAAATTAATAACCACTATGACGCACTAGTCTTTGATTTTAATATGAATTAAAAAAGAAATTCTTGAATAAATCAGTATTCAAGATTATGTTGACAAGTTTTCAGAAAAAAATAGACGAATGAATTTGTAAATAAAAAAATAAAAAACTAAAACTGAAATAAAAAAAAGATTGTTTTATGAAGGTTACTAAAACATATTTTTGTTTAAGTTGTTAATTTCTCTCAGTTTAATGAATATAAAATAAAAATGTGTGTGCGCCTATTTAATATTAATATATATATATAATTACAGATCTTTTGTATGGACAATTATATCATATTGCCCCTACCCCCCCCCCCCCGACCAAAATAGGGTTAGAAGAATATTTGTAAAAATGTTTGAAAATATGAATCAATAATTACAGAAAGAACAGCACGTGATTCAGAATCCGGTGCCGATAGAGTGTCCAACGGAAACCAACATTCTTCTGATGCAGCCGAAGAAGCCTCTAAGAAAGCGGAAGAAGAACGATTGGCTGCAGAAGCGGCGCGCAAGGAAGAGGAGGACAGATTGGCGGCAGAAGAAGAGGCGCGGCGCAAGGAAGAAGAGGACAGATTGGCGGCAGAAGAAGAGGCGCGGCGCAAGGAAGAGGAGGAACGGTTGGCCGCAGAGGAAGCGGCGCGCAAAGAGGAAGAAGAACGATTGGCCGCGCTCAGGGAAGAACAAGAACGGTTGGCGGCCGAAGAAGCCGCGCTCAGGGCGGAGGAAGAACGATTGGCCGCCGAAGAGGCCGCGCTCAGGGCGGAGGAAGAACGATTGGCCGCAAAAGCGGAAGAGGATAGATTGGCCGCAGAAGAAGCGGCGCTCAAGGAGGAAGAGGATAGATTGGCCGCAGAGGAAACGGCGCTCAAGGAGGAAGAGGAGAGATTGGCCGCCGCAGAAGCAGAGGCCGCCAGAAAGGCGGAAGAAAACGTTTCCGAGTCGGAAGAAACGGACGCGGAAGAGATAGAGGACGAACCGAATAGCAAACTAGTGACCACCGAAGTCGGATTTGGCATAGGCGGAACAGCTCTGGCAGCTTCTGAACACCACGAAGTAGCGTACACGACGTTGGAAGAAGAAGACGGTGGTACCGTCAGGACGGCCGTGTTCAGACGCTCCACAAGGACTACGTCGACCATAATCCAGTCCGGCAGCGAAGAGCACAACGGCGTGGAAATCGAAGAAGTCGTGGAAAACGAAGAAGTTTCGGGGGACGAAAACGCCGTGGCCGACGGGCAGCGGTCCGAGCAAGAGGAATCGTCGGACGAAGGAGAAGAAATCAAAACGGAAGGGGCAGATACAAAACCGGAAGAAGGGTCATCCGAGGAGGAGGAGGAGGAGGAGGAGGAGGAGGAGGAAGAAGAAGAGTAGAAAATGTTTCGCGTCGCGCGATCGAGTTTTCCTAACGACTTGAAGGGATCGGCGAAATAGCGTTTATTTATTTTACCGTTGTTGTTAATATGCATTTAATTTATTTATTTATCTAATTTATTAAAAAAAAAAAAATAATAATAATAATTAATACAAGATATTTAATTATTATTAGTTAATACAAAATACATTACAGACACACTACACCAAAGCCATCGACAAAAATAAGTACTAGGTAACAAAATATCAATAAAACGGATTTAACTCGAGTATTTTACAACGTGTATATTATTAATAATCTACACGTCATTGTCTAAGTTATAATTTACTTGAAATAAACGAAATGGGACGTTTAAAATAAAGAAATTAGGTTGACAACACTCGTGTGCTGATAGATTTACTACTAACCCCTAATAACTTGAAATCTTACATGTTTTTCATCAAAGCTACGCAAAATATTACACACGGAATAAACAGAAGAAAATCTTAGAGTTTATCAAACAAACAATCAGACATATTAAGAAAAATGCAGTGATGCCAGAACGTAAACATTTCCTTTTAATTATTTTTCTGTGATGCATGGCTACACTGTTCGTTCGTTAAATGTCCTAATTTATAAAGTCATTCAAATGATTTTCGTACAATTCTATTAGCATAGCTTAAACGAAGTCATGCCCGATTTTTAAATTAAAAATTGTGATATTCAAAATATATTAGTTGGAGAGAGAATAGTGTTATTTTAATCTATACACATTACTCAGAGGCATTTCATCTACTACTCGACATTTCAATACCTAACATAATAAAAGTAATCATCCAAAACTGGTAATCGACCAGTAACCGTTTTTAGGAAATTATTCTTGAAATAAAAAGTCAATTAACAAGTTGACTGACAGAACATTTCATTTTTTAGTCTCTCTAGTTTTGAGTACCATATTTTGTGCTCAAATCAGTCAACTCGTTAAATAAATGGGTTACCAATTAAGTTTTAAAAGTAACAGAAAATACTAAAAAACTTCAACATTTTATGTTGTAAGATAAAATAATCCAAAATGTTTCATAATAATTACTTTACAAGGAAAAAATAGTGTCTTACATTAAACAGATCACACTGTTTATGCGATAATAAAAATCACTGAAATAAAAAAAAAAATGTAATCCATACACCTAATGCTTCATTTGTCTTTTACTCAAAAGTCAAGACGCATTAGTTTTTTAAGTAAGTACTTAGTTATTTTTGTTCAAAAATGGAATTTGAAGTGATAGAAGGGTTTCAAAAAAATAATAAATGTTCTACCATATAAACGATGGGTTATCATCGTTTACCGTTAATATTCCTAACATTTTCATTGTTTTTATTTTTTATAATTTCATTATCATCGTTAATGAACTAATTCAATTTTGTTTAAGAATTATTACTTTTTTTATATGTTCACACACTAAACAGTATGTTGTGTCGTTAACGCGACTCACCGGATTTTCCTGTACTTATTTTTAAAAAAAACTGTTGTTTCTTTTTCATAATTTTTTTCCAATAAGTACTTTATTGTTAACACAAATGTCGTTTGAACTACAATATCAACATTGTAATAATCATTTTTCTGTAAAAAGTCAAAAAATAATAATTAAAACAGTAGGTAAAGGTTACAATGTAAACCATAATTTAAACATTTAAAATCTCTAGCCGTTCATAAAAAAAAGATGTTTATTATTCTATTCTTACTATCTATTATACATACATATATGTTTACTCCAAAAAATCAAAATAATTTGTCAAAAAAAAAAACCCCCCCACGCGCAATGATCAAATTTTTTCTGATAAGAACGGATGTACCAAAGCCTGAGATATGCCAATGCGTTTTGAAGAGTCCAACATCAACATTTTGTCAAACAGGTCTTTCAGCTGGGCCACCTTACGAATTTGGTCTTCTGGTAATTTCTGATTTCCCAACATTTCAACGTGTAAGTCGCGACTAGGGTTTATCGCCGACATGGTTACCACTTTTTCCTAAACACATACATTAGAGTTAACAAACACATTATAATATTGTATATTGTTATTATACTGTTGACTTTATAATCGAGTAAAGCGCCACCATTTGTATAGCCATCACTTGTCATTACTATAACTGTAATTAATTTCACTTAATAATAACAAGTCAAAATTCCTATACATACACACACCTATGAATTAATTTAATCTTATTGCAATCCAAGTTTATATAAGAAAAAATATGTATACACTAATAGAGTAAGATAAACAAATTTAAGAAAAAACTAACGCTATAATATAAATAAATTTCTTATACATCAAGTGTTATCATCGGATTGTAAAATATTTATACGGATTAGATTATTGAGGAATTAAAAAAATGAAGTGTAGTGTTGTGAAAGAAATCGGACCAAGAAAACAGAAATTATCATCAGTTTATTAAATCAATAGTAATTTATTTAAAAAAAATTGACATAACAACGTTGTCTCCGGTCTTTAAATTTAACAACTGCAGAATATATTCAAAACCAGAGAGGAGTATTTAAATTGACATGCTCGATTTAATTAAAAAATGTTTGCATCATTTACAAAGAACAACATTAGATTCATTTATACAGTTAAAATTTTAATTAAATATTTAAAAGAAGATTTTATGAAGGGTAGACAATGGAGTTATAGGACGGTGGTAACATTAGATTCATCGCTCTTCTTATACTAATAAACATACACTTCTACAATTTCTTTTACATACATTTCCCCAAAGAAGTAAAAAAACTCTTATTTAAGAAGTTTAAAAATATAGGTTATAGGGGGAGAGAAGACAAATCTTCAGTTTTTATCATTTATATATTATCAAGTCCATGAAAGACATTATCTAAGTGATTTATGACACAATTATTTATATATTTAAAAGACTCAACAACTGAGACTGATAGAACAATTGAATAAACAAGCAGCGAGTCTTAGTTAAGTATAAGGAATTTGGGAGACCTGCAGAACATTTTAGATAACCGTTGAGGATTATATTTATGTTCAATTGAACATTACATAAAGAGCGGTAAATAGGGATATGTAAAAAATACCAGTAACAGTAGCAACAAGATGGCAATAAGAAAATATAAATATTAAAAAAAAAAAGTTCTTTATCTAACTTAAAAGCCTTTCAAGTAATTGTTATAACAAAATTTTAATATACTTTCACGTTTATTGGATATACCGTATTAAGAGGGCAACGGTTCTACTTGGTTTTTTTTTTAAATTAAATGTATCGCAGTCGAGTTTAATTTAGCAAAGCAATAAAGTTACACTAAATCAAAAGTAATAACAACGGTACGAGTATACTTTAGCAAAAATATTGGCCAGCATTCAACAGCTGAATTCTGGAATTCCATTTTGCTTACTATTTCAAAAACCTGTGACCGAATAATGTTTTAACGTAAAAAAAATACTTACACGCTCAGTCACTTTATCGACTTCGTGATATAAAAAGTTGCAATTACTATCGAAATGTTGTTCCTTCAATACACCTTTGCGAATGGTTTTATTGAGCATTTTCCCTTTGAGGTCCATAAACAATTTTAACATCTAACGGTTAAAAAACGAAAACAATTATTTTTTCAAAACTATTATTGTCTATGAAAATAATTTCAGTCGATTAATTATTACTTGATTATTGGTTTTGCCTGGAAATAATATTTTGCCCGTGTAAAGTTCATAAATCGTGCAGCCGGCAGACCACATGTCGAGTCCAAAATCGTAGGGGATACCTAAAACTGTGGTGGAGGAGAAACATTAGATATTAGAGCAATCACGCGTAAGAGACAAAAATACAACGTTCACTTACTGACTTCGGGCGGACGGTAAAATCGACTGACTAAATACGGCGTGACTTCATTGTCGGAAATGTGCGACGCAGAACCAAAATCGCATAGCTTCAATACCAGCTTACTTTCGTTCACCTACATTTCACAGATAAAAAAAAAAAATAATAAAATCAATAATCGTTATTTTACAAAAAAAAAAAATATGCTTTCTGTTATAACCAGAAGAAGTACGAGATTCACAGGAACTGCAGACCACACATTTTAAAAAATTTCCCAAGTTGTATCAAAGCTGAACTGGACGATTTAGTAGTATTTATACCTAATTACCAAAAGGGCAAATAATACGTCAATAACATGATCATGATTTTTGCTGCAATGATGTTGACCAAAATAAACCTTAATATGCTGGACATCCGTTGCATCAGTGGTCTTAGAACTAAAATCGATTTCAATCGCGTCTTACCAAAATATTGTCGGGTTTGATGTCGGCGTGCAAAATATTGGATTTTTTCATTAGTTTTAACGCCAGCATCAGTTGTTGACAATACGAACGAACGGCTTTGACGTGCAGTCCTACATCCTTACCGTATTTTTTCAACACCTAAAATATAAAGCCGATTGAAATTAACGCAAAATCGCATTCAAGACCATATTTTCTAAAATTTACACTACTGTTTGTTACCTCTCTGAGATTCATGCTGAGCGGCTCGAAAACCATGCACAAATGTTGCTTGTGGAAAAAATGACAATACAAACGAACACAATGATACCGGTCGTCAGGATCCGAGTCGTTAAGTCTTTTCAGTATTTCCAATTCTTTCAGGCCGCTTTTGTGCCTAATTAAAAAACAAAATCATTGTCAATAGGTATTTTTTTAATAATACGTTATTTGCTTTCGCAACTAACTGCCTCGGTAGACAACGTTAGTGTGCATCATTATTATTAAGTGCTCTTACATGATTTCGTTGTTGCGTATTATCTTAACGGCCACATCTTGGTTATTCTTGGTCGTGTCTCTGGCACGGACAACATTGGAAAACACTCCTTGACCCGTGTAACCATACACTGTGTACCTGGAATTCATCGTTTCTCCGATTCTCACCCTATAATAGCCTTCTGCGTCATCCCAGTTGTCTGTTAAAGAAGGATTTTCCGGAACGCTTTTATTTCCATTAGCTAAACCGTTCGGTTGCGGTGTCTAAAAATGTATAAACATCGTTTACAATGGCCGATAATGTTAAAATTATCAAAAGCTAAAAAAAAAAAAATATTACAAGTTGTGTAGCATGATACGAATCTGCTTCTGCAAACATGTCCCATTTGCCTTTGATCAGTTCCGTATTTGATACGTTACCAGCCTTAACCGGGTCTTTTTCAAACATTGAATCGTTAGTATTTTTAATGGGAGACTGCCTAGGTTCAGGAGAAAGCTGAGCAGAAGTTTCTGTCGCATCGCTTTCACGAGGAGAAGGATTTGCCGAGTCTTCACCGTTTACATTACTATTGTTGGCTTCCAATCGCTAAATCATTATATTTATAACATTATAATAGATAAAGTAATAATTTTTATTGGGGGGAAAAAATCACTTTGAAAATGCTATAGTTTTAGCCAGATTTTATTTAATAGAAATAATTTTCTTTTAAAAAATTAAATCTCATGCGTGTTAACTAAATAAACTCAATAATATTACTTTTAATAATTCTTCCCTTTGTTTCCTTCTTTTTTCTATTATTTCTTCTACGTTTTCGTCTTCGGCAATGTTTATATTTACTTCGATCCTACAACATAAATTATATACAAATTAATTAATTAAATTTTTTTCGTCAACTAAATATTACGTACTCGGAATCGGAAGATTTATTTTCACGCTTGAGACCTTCTGAAAAACTGTCTTTATACTTATCTCCTCTGTCTTTTCTTCTATGAGATCTAGATCGATAGAAATTTCAAACGGTGTTTGTTATTAACTACAAAATCATTAAGCGTAAGTAAATTGGAATTGAATTCATGCCAACCTGGAATGTCGGTCGTTGCTATGTGATCTCCTTGCATAGTTTCTATTGTATCTCCTATTCGTAGCATCTCTATAA